ACCTCACCCTCCCAGAACTTCCCAAATACGATTTAATGAGTCAAAGTTGCAAAATGCTGGAATGAGTGGCCAAAGGACTCACATGGTCCTTCTTGGGGTTTTATGAAGTAGTAGAGGTGTTTGGAAACTCTCATAGAAATGAAAAAGCCCAGCCAGTTATCATTTCCCAAGTCGTGTTTTATACATAAAAAGTATTTTCTGATGGAGAAGGTTGCATGCAGACCCTTACTTCTCGGCCTTCTCTTCAACAAAAGGCTGGTTGTACTGGTTAGATGAGGGAATAACAAGAGCATATGCATGTGGCAACCGTCTCAGAAGCTTTTCCTATTTAGGGTGTGTTTATTGTACTTTAGCATGATCTAGTGCAATCTTTGTTGCAGAAAATGAGTGACCCCTATAGACGTAAGGCTGGGAAGTGCAGCTGACCCTTGAACAAGACTCAGGGGCACGGACCCCTTGCACAATCAAAAATATGCATATAACTTTTGATTCCCCTAAAACTTAACTACTAATAACCCACCGTTGACCTAATGTCTTACTGATAATACAAACAATTAACTCCTATTTTGTGTTACATGTACTAGATACCGTATTCTTACAATAAATAAGCTAGAAAAATGCTATTAGGAAAATCATAAGGAAATTACATTTAGAATACTGCTCTGTATTTGCTGAAAAAAATCTGTGAATAAGTGGACTCACACAGTTCAAACCCATGTTGTTCAAGGGACAACATATAGTTAATGGCAGAGTTGGGTTTTTGATTTAGATAAAGACTCTGAGGAAGGGTTAGAAATATAAATTTATATGTCTTTGGTTTACAATCTCAGTATCCAAACTGACTAAAGTCTTGAAACCAAACTGTTTGAAAAGTTTTATTTGGTAGCAGAAAATATCTACAATTGGATCTTTACAAAAGAAGTTGTGCAAGAGGGAAAAATAAACTTATACATAAGATTTTGCTGTTGAAATTTGGGATGATTATCAACAATTGATTCAGATTACAACAACTCACACAAGTCCATGTCTTTCTATGTTAAGAAAGTAGAAGCTACGTTAATCTGTTGACTAAACAGTTTGTTGAGACTCATAACAGACATTATAATGAACCGAAAGAAAGTTACGTCTATGGAAGAGAAGACAAACTAAATTATTTCAAGTTGTAGTAATAAACATATTTAGTCAGAGTAAAAACCAATTATCTCCACAACCCAACAATCAACTTTTCATCTTATCAAGTCCATAATGTCTACATTATTTATATACACCATGGCTTTTCATCTAAGAGCTGTATTTTAAATTACATACAGATTTACATATAACATATCAGATGTTACTGACAAGAAGTCTTACCCTAGGATAGAAGTCTCTCTCCCTGTAATCACTTGATTTGGTCATATGTACAATCCCTGCTATGGAGCTGATTGCTTATCTGACAATAAAGGACAAGACCTATGGGAATGACCCAGGACAGGATTAGGAGGGACAGGATCACCTCGTTGTCTCTATAACTTTACTGGCTTTGTATTCATTCAAAATACTACTAACCAGTACTTTCAATGGGCCAAAGAAAGAGGCACTAAGAGTGTTTGAAAGCATCCAAGAATTATGATCAGTGTCTATAGTACAGGCATAAAGTAGCTAACATTTTAAAAAACATCAAAAATACCGTTTTCACTAAAGGGGGTAAGCAGACAACTTCCTACTAGTAGAAAAAGAAAGACAAACACTGGTGTTCAATTTCCAGTTTAAACGCATTTATGAATACGAAGATTGTGACCCCCATTAATTAAATACAAAGAGTCCAGAAGAAATTGATGCATGACCTTAAGATGCAAGTATAGCAGTATTTTCTGTATCAAATTTAGTCTAGGATTAAATACAATGCTACACACACACACACACACACACACACACATATTCATAGTACCTTTATGGAATTCTCTAAAATGCTCACAGTAGCTTACAAGGTATTGATGAAAATAAACATGAAACTGTATAAACTAGAGTGTAGATAAAAATCATCTTTTATAGCTTACTAAGTGATACCTTTTGTGGCTTAAGTAGCTTAAATTATTCAAGTTTAAATTTCAATTCTTGAAAGCAGAACTGTGCTTTGGTATTCAAACCTTCATAAGATTTTACAGTTTTTCAAAATAAGGAATATAAAGTAAGAACATCAAACATGTGGGAGAAAAAGACTTCTGACTTTTGTCACATGATTAACCAGTGGCTTTCAACTCTCACTGGGCCAAAACTCAGCTTCTTGGAGGTGATTAGGGTTTTCAAAAGGTTTGAATAAAATTAAGTTTTGAAAACTTAATAAAAATGCACATTCTAATGTGTTAAATATCCCCCCCACCTTTTTTTAAACCATACTGGAGAATGCTTATGTATTAACTTCTACTACCAGAATAATTTATTTTTTTTAAACCTTGGAATATAACTTCAGCTATCTCTAATTAAAGAACCTCCTGAGATGTGTGTTTAAAACCTGCTATTATTTACACTTACTTATGTTTGTGTGAACCCAAATTTTCTTGATAGTATGCAAATAAAATAAGATATAAAAATAAATGGGCTGCTGAGGTTTTCCACCAACTCTATAATGCCAATTACACATTTGTGTTATTCACAAATTCTATTCCTAGTAATGGACTAAAATAAACTTAAATGTGAACCCAAAATATTTATACTGACAAAACGAACTTTTCAGGCTTTATGTGTTGGGGTTACACAAAATTTTATTCAACAAATGTTTGGAAAATAATGCTCTGTAAGAAACTATCTTTTAATCTGTTAATACGATGTATAATGTGATTTCATTTGCTAAAACTGTCTAACACATTTCAGTTATTAGATTACTCTGCACCATGGGAAAAACTTCGACCAATTAGAATGCTGCAGCTCTTCAAAAAGGTAACTTGTAAAAAATTGAAAAACTGCACTGAAAGTCTATTTGCCTTAGAACTCTTCTGATAAGATTCCATTTTTGAATTAATAATATACTTATTGTGTTATAATTCTGAAAATACATTCATCTTCCACATAACACAATTTAGCATCTTCACACATCAACTGTGTTGTGTGTTTTAATGGTTTAGGCACATTTCAGTAACTTTGGATTTTATTTTGTGGTTTCACTACAAAACAGCTTGTGCACACCAAATTCAAACAATCTTTTTTATTTAAAAATCCATCTGAAAATTCACTTCTGAGTTTTAGTTTTTGTTTAAAAAGAAGCAAACATTTAAAAGCATCAAATGTTACTAGTCTACAATTCATCTTGTTATGAACAATTTTAGTTCATGGATTGGGGAAATAAACCCATTACATTGATTAGGCACAGTACTATGGCCAAAAGACCAGAAATCAGGGCACATCTGTGTGTTCAGGCAACAGTTAGAGGTCTGAATGGAGGGAGTCATGCCTCAGCTGTGGGTACTCTTATCTCTGCCTCCTCCAAAAACTGTTAGTAAGTCCCAAATCAATACATAAGAGATTGTTTGTAACTTAGTTAAAAAAACAAGCAAACAAACAAATTATACCTGCTTTCTAAATTACACTGCAAAGCCAAAACAGATAAATACAACTGTAGTCTCACTATATATAATTTGTGGTTTTGATATCCGTATCACAGGACCGTATTACAGGTGAGACAGAATTATATAATTCCTCTGGTGATTTCAGACATCTGGTTGGAAGAGGTTCATGACTCTAAGATTTCACATTATAACAATACTCCAAAATTTCTCAAATTAGGGCAGTGAATATAAATCACAGTACAAAATCCTTAATTCTTTTACTGGAAAAGCAACTGGTGCTACATACAAGAATCACTTATAGAACATCTATTTTTTTAAAAAAATGTAGATATAAAATATTAATTGCATAGGGATTTAAATATAAGGCCAAGAAGAATATTAAGTAAAGTTAAAAAAATCATAGAAAGGGCACTATGGTGTCAAAAGATAGAATTTCATTCTTAGAGTAATAAATCTGAATTACTGTCTAATTAAAAAAAAATCACAGTATGTTGCTATAACTAACAGTGAATGTTTCCTTAAGTCCAAATTGGAAACCAATATTAGGACTAACAAGAACACAACTAAAGCTCATTGTCTAAACCTGATCAGTGTATTAGCACATCAGTGCCTGGTACGTACCTGGTTATATAATCTATCTTTGCAAATAATGTAAAGTTTAATACATGTTAACAAGTGTGAGAGCACATCATCACTGCATGCCGGTTAAGTGATCTGTAGGCTTACTTGATAGTGTAATTATTCAGTCTTCCCAAGGTGCAAGATCCCACCTGGCAGAATCTTCACTCAATGAACCAAAAACACTGTAATTAACAAAATATAATAAAGTTCCACCATTGAAAACTAAATGTACATGAACCAGAGAATTAGTTCCTGACACCAGTACATATATTATCCTCAGCACTTTGGAACGCAGTGAATGATGAGCCCGTCTATACTGTGTAGTTTAGGCTAATGGCTATCACCTGATGTTTCAGGTAGACAGGTAAATTGTAAATCTACTTCTCATTTTAATGTTGTTAGAGTGCAGTTTAAAGAGCAATTTCCAAATCTAAAAGTAGCTTAGTTAACTTAGTATTGTTATATAGAGTAGTGTGAGGAAAAACAAGAACTCCCAAAGGAATTATGTTAAGGAACATTTGGGAATACCCAAACCAACGTTTTAAATGAAAAAGTGCATAAATACAGTAATACTACAAGTGTGTTAACTATGGAACAAATGTTTCTCTGGGAGCTAAACAATAGTATTTTCCCACATTATTTACATGTTATGGATTGTTGAGATACCACAAAGCACCATTTACAGTCTAAATTGCTTGATTATGTGTGAAAAGTCCTCTGACTTCAATTGTACTCAGTTGAGGATCTACCTAGAATAGAAGTGTCAGGTCATCTCAAACAGGATTTATGTTTACAATTCAGTTCTCGTTATTCAGAAACAGCGAAGCAATATTTTCATTTCACATTCTTGGCTGGTGTTTCAGATTCTGTGGACTGTCTCCCATCTGTCCAGGCTTCCCGAGTGCTCTTTAGAGCCAGAGTCTTCTGTTGGTCAACCACAACATAATCTACTCTCTCATCAGCTACACTGCTGCCTGAGCCACTGCTCTTTTGCTAAAAAGCAAAGAAAGAAAACCATAAAACCCCACGTATAAGAGAGTTCTTCTTGGTGAAATTTAGCCTTAAAACATAGACACTCATGCCCTGTAAATAACTCTTGAAGTTCTACTGGGTCACATACATACAAAAATAACATTACTTCAATTTAACAATGTTGTTTTTCTCCTCACTGTACACTGTTTTCCCCTTAAATTTAAAATCACTGTATGTAAGAATTTAGATGAATGCTCCCAACACAGATGAAATTCTTATAAAATAAGGATCACAGACACTTGGTTCATCTTAAGATACACAGCTTGCTTCTCCCTTTAGCTTAACCTTGACCTTTTCAAATCCTCAGAACATGTACCAGTGTTGACTTGCAGAGCTGAGAAATGTTTTTTGAAAAACAGTATTTCAAGAATGGCAAACTACATAGGATGACACGACCTCTTACTCTAAAATACAAGTAGATACTAACTAACTTAAAACAAATATAATTATTGGGGCACCTGGTTGGCTCAGTTGCTTAAAGCACCAGACTTCAGCTCAGGTCATGATCTCACGGTTTGTGGGTTCGAGTCCCATGTCGGGCTCTGAGCTGTCAGCACAGATCCCGACGTGGGGTTCGAACCCACAGACGGTGAGATCTTGCCCAGAGCCAAAGTCAGACGCTTAACTGATTGAGCCACCCAGGCGTCCCCAAACAGAATTATTAATGTGTTGCTGGGCTCTCTAGAAAGTAAGAGAAATACCCAATGTGTGAGGGAAACAGGGCATGAAGAGCTGTTCAATGTAAACTTTACAGGAACTGTTGTCTTCAGATGAATGTCAATCTCAGCAATGCAATCAGGAGGCCCGCAGTGGGAGGGTGTGTCGAATCTGAGGCTATCCTGTTAAGCTAGGGACCAATGAAACAAACTGAGGTGGTCCTATAGTTGTAGCACATTGCTTCCCAGCAGAAGAAAATGTAAATCTATTCTGAAGGAAACTGAAGTCTGCAGGATTCTCAGATAGACTCAGCAAAATGAATTTGCAAAAAAATGTATAAAACATGGAAGGAAACAAGCCATCAAGAGTGTGAGCAGAAACAATAAACAGATTCAGACCTCCAAGGACTTCAGATATTGAAATGATTGCATAAACAGAATAAATTATGTGTATATAAAATATTCAAAGGAATTAAAAAATAAAACTAAATAAAAGGAATAAAATATCATGAAAGAAATAAGCTATTCAAAACAGCTATGCATATTGGAAACAAAAGAGCAAAATTCCATGTTAGAACTAAAAATAATTGAAATTAAAAATTAAACAATGGGTTAAACAGAATAATTGAGAATTAGTGTACCTGGTGATAGAACTAAAGAAATAATCCAAGTAAGAACAAAGAGATGAATAAAGACAAAATATGAAAAAGTGAAAAGAGGCACAGAAAATAGAATATGTTCTGACTAATCTTTAATAAGAAACCTCAAATGAGAGGATAAAAGGAAGAGTGGAAAAGCTATATATTTAAAGAGATGATTGGGACTTTGCCAGAACTGATAAAAAATACAAATCCAGAAATAAGAACAGCACAACTTCCATCAAGCATGATAGATAAAAAGAAATCTACGTCTAGATGTCTAGACACACTGTAGTAAACCTGCAGAATACCAAAGATACAGAAAAGATGTTAACATCAGCCAGACAGAAAAGACAAATTATCTATAGAGTAACTGTAACTAGATTGACAACATACTTTTCAGTAGGAACAATGGAAGCCAGATGATAGTGAATAGTATCTTCCATGTGTTGAAAGAAGTATATTGCCAATCAAGAACTGTGAATGCAAAAAAACTCTTTTTCAAAAATGAGGGCACAATATAGACATTTCCCTCAAACAAAAATTGCAAGAATTTACTACTAACAGACCTCCACAAGAGGAACTTCTAAAGAATGTATTTCAGGAGGAAGAAAAAATTATTATGACAGGAAAGACTGAGGAACAAGATGGAATGATAAGAAAGGGAAGGTGGTAAATATGTAGGACAATGTTAAGTAAGCACTACCTATATAATAAGAATACTACTGGGGCGCCCGGGTGGCTCAGTTGGTTAAGCGTCCTGTGACTCAGGTCATGATCTCGCGGTCAGTGAGTTTGAACCTCATGTCGCACTCTGCTGACAGCTCGGAGCCTGGAGCCTACTTCAGATTCTGTGTTCTCCCTCCCTCTCTGCCCTTCCCTGCTCACACTCTGTCTCTCTCTTTCTCAAAAATAAATAAACATTAAAAGAAAAAACAACCCAGAATACTACTAATGTGTAATCTGTGGTTTAACAAAAGTAAAAAACCAAAACTTTGGACAAAAATAGCATGTAAATCAAAAGGGGAATAATGTGAGCTAACACTGGAAAGAGAATGAAGACAAGATTTTGTTAAGTAGGCATTTCAACAGTAACCACTAAAAGAGGAGAACGTGTATAATTTCTATTATATATCATTAGGGATTACTCTCCATGACTTTGTTAATTGTGACTTATGAAACAATATTAAGTAATAGACTTTACTAAATTTAAATTAAACATACTAATAAAATTTCCCCAAAGGAAACATGATTCTTTGGCTTTAAAAGGTGAGCTAATTTTGTCTATAGAATGAGATTTCACTTACCTTACGTGGTGGTGTGGATTTCCCAGAATCTAAATCCAGATCTAGGTATTCTACTTGTTTGTCTCCTTTGGGCTTGACCATAGGACTGCTTCTCCCATCAAGGCTGTTACTGCCAAAAAGATTCTGAAAATGGTGATACAATGAAATCTACTATTGAACATCCACGAGACCTGTTGCTTATTTTGTCTGCCATCTACCAAAGCCAAAATATTTATTTTAAGAGGCTATGGTTTAATAAAAAAAAAAAATGTCTTCTGAGAAAATTAAATCTGCTTTTAGGATTGGAGGAACATATGTGATATAACAGAACTGATTACAACTAGGCTTTAGAGTAAGCTAAACATGGTTTCAAGAGTCAAACTGGGTTCAAACTAAGACCAAAACATCAAGCTAGAGTTGGCTGCAATAGCTCCAACTGAACATTATTTAAATGATATCTTTACTCGATTATATTTTTAAACTACTGGATCCTTTCATTCCTTGCTTTCTAATTAAAATTTTTAAAAAGTTCTGTATTTTAAGACTTTCACGCTAAAATTTAGCTTAGAATATGTATGTTAACTAAAGCCTACAAACAATGACTGCACTGGCAAAGTCCGCTTTGTTTCAACCTGGAATTTTTAGCTCTTAATTTCTTCTGTCTTCTCTTTAGCCTTATCCCTTCTGTCCTACTAGGAATTGTACAATACAAGGGTTACTCTCCATAAACAGATAAAGGACAGATAGAGGACAGCAATACATGACAAAAACAAAAAAGCTTAAGGCAGAAAAATGCAAAATCAACAGGATGTTAGGAACTTCAAGATCAATGCTCATAAGAAGGAAAGCATGACACGAACTGACGCCCCTACATACGACCTCTATGTGAATTACGACAATCCTTCCCAAGGTGTGCCAACAAATGCCTTGTTTCTCTGCCTTGCTGCTTTGAACCTCACCCAGAAATGTTCTGGACTTCTCATAGGCGAGACTATATATTTACTAGCAGCTAGCATTCTTTTGTCTTCTATCACAGAGATAGGAATACTCACATACTTTTGAAGAAAACCTTAACGATGTGATATACTTAAAATTATACTTGTTATGATGAACAAAACAATTTGGAAACTGCATAAACCTGGATCTGCTAATCCTTTTATATATCACTACTCCTTTTGTCTTTGCTCAAGTCACACAGAGTAAGCTGTGATTTAGGAAAAAGATAATTGCTAGAATTTTCAATATTGACTCTATTCCCTCATTTGAAGCAGGGCTGCTGACAGCCTGCGTGAAACATTTTTGTGAATTAGAAAATGGTGCTCCTTCCTGTGGGGCTACCCAGCTCTGTGCCAGGGCCCACAGCTTAGTGAGCAGGACATGGTCTGAACTGCATGTACTCATGAATGCAGTACTATGCAGTCTACTCGACACATTACATACTGTGTGTAATGTGAGCAAGCAACCTGCATGCTGGAATGTGAGGGCTCTATTTGTGGGAACGCTGTTTTATTTTTGAGAGACAGAGAGAGACAGAGCATGAGCAGGGGAGGGGCAGAGAGAGAGGGAGATACAGAATCTGAAGCAGGCTCCAGGCTCCGAGCTCTAAGCTGTCAGCACAGAGTCCCACATGGGGTTCGAACCCACGAACCATGAGATCATGACCTGAGCTGAAGTCAGACGCTTAACTGACTGAGCCACCCAGGCACCCCTGTGGGAACAGAGTTTTAAACTGAATTTACCAACTACTGGTGATAAAACACTAAAAAAAAATTTTAACAATAACATGTAAGGCACAAAAAAGGTGATGTACAAATAGCCATTCCCCTCTCCCCCCCCTTTTTTTTTAATTTATAAAGAAACTAGTTTTTTGGGTTTTTTTCTGAATGACTCTACATTTCATTCTCATATAAAAATATCAAGCAGGGGAGTGGTGTGTGTGTACAATTTTGTATTCAAATGTGACTTGTGAAAGAACCCCCACCTGGAATACCCCTAATTGGAAATGCCTACGGTTGTTCATACTATTGCAAGGCTCGTGAAAGGAACACACGAGCTCATATGATGTACACATTTACTTTCAGTAAGTTGTTCCTACAGAGAAATGTCTCAGAATTGCTGGTTAAACTGTTTTCTGTCTAGTTATTATTAGAATTGGAAATTTTTCATCTTTAAATATTGTTAAAATTTGTGTCCCTGCAAGGCAGTCCATTTGCTTTAGATCTGATTTCAACAACGAACAGCCTGTCTCTGCGTTCTAGCCTTTAACCCAGTATTTTCCCAAAACAGTTTAGAAAAACCCTAAGATTCTAGGAGTTATCACAAATGTTCTGTGAATTAAGAAAAAAGATAACAGTTGTGCTTTGTTTTTCTAAAATTCTTTTTAAAATGTGAAAAGTTATTGAAGGTATTTTTGTTGTTACTGTTGTATAACAATATTCATGTCTTTAATAGTGACGTGTGGTACCTCACATTTTAGGTGTCACATTAAGGGTTCACCTCACGAATGCCTGACTTTGGATCTTTTTATAAATTAACAGGCAGCACCACCAATTCACTGTTTCATTAAACACCGCCTGCTCCATGATCACTAGTATGAGAAATAAGTCATGCTTCAAAACGTCAATGTATAGACTTTAATCTTCATTGTAGGTATAAGCCAGGTTTGATCTGATCCTGTCTCAACTTCTCCAAGACAAATTTTTTTTACTGATCAATCCAGACACAATGACATCTTGTGAATTTCTATGGTATACCTTTAATGCACTAACTACAAAGAGGTGTGGAAAATAATCCTGTAACTATCACATTCTTTTCTAAGGAAGAGTTGTCCGGATTATGATCAACCCTTGCAGCTGGCAGTGTGAAGAGATGGAAATGGTGGCTGGTTTTTCTATTGTGAATGGTGGGCAGATATTTTCACCCAGAACATTTTTGCTTTTTCTAACACTTAGGACCTAAGTATTTCAGAAATTCACCAGCTGGCAGGCAAAAATACCTTTCTGGCTTAATGTTTTATATCTTACGAGGTATAAAAGAACAAACAATTTCATATTTTTATTTCCTTTGACTTTTTGATTGTAATATTTTTCTTTCTAGTCTTTTCCCTTCATGATAAATCACACTTCCAAACTTTCCTATTACATGCCCTTTGCAAAATTTTTATGGTAATTTACTATTTCAGGCAAAAGGACACGCTTTAGTATCTCAGAAAAAAGTTACTTTTGTAATAAAAAGTCCATTCAGCCACCTAAAGATTAAAATTGATGATAATATGTACTCTGTTGTAGCACTGAGGATTTATGTAGACTTTTCCCAGTCTATTTGCTATAATGAGAAAAAAATAAGGTAATAAAAATAATAAAACACCACTTATCAAGTTGAAAAACAGTGAATCCCAAAACAGAAGCCAATTAATAAAAATTGCTGTGCCTTAAAATTAGGGAAAGTGTTATTGATATAGCTGGTTTGTATTCTAATCCAGGCTGATGTAAATATTTTACATTATCTTATTCATACTGAGCACTGCCAAAATTTGGTATTTTAAAGTGAGTTTAAGCACCAAATCAAGCTTTTCAAATCACTTAATTTTGTTTCCTGACAACATAGGGTTGTGAGGAATCTCTTTTTGCCTAAAGTACATTAAAGACGTAAAACATGTCGAGAGAAATGGACTTTGTATTTTGAATCCCTAAAGAGTATTGTTTTAAAAAAAATAAAGCTGGGGCGCCTGGGTGGCTCAGCTGGTTAGGCGACCAACTTCGGCTCAGGTCATGATCTCGCAGTTTGTGAGTTCGAGACCCGCGTCGGGCTCTGTGCTGACAGCTCAGAGCCTGGAGCCTGCTTCAGATTCTGTGTGTCCCCCTCTCTCTGCCCCTCCCCTCTTCACGCTCTGTGTCTCTCTGTCTCTCAATAATAAATAAACGTTAAAAAAAAAATTAAAGAAAATAAAGCCACTAAAATGTTAATCCTTCCAAATTTTGACATCAGATTTCTGCTTCTCCTGGCAGATACTACCTGGTTGTGCCCTGATAATATCTGCCCTCCCCTCTCTCACATGAATGGGATTTTTAGTCAGGCCCGCTGTCCCTCAGAAGAAAAGCTATGGTTCCCAGCCCCTTTGTGTCTCTGTGTGTATGGCGGTTTCTGGGAACCTTCTTTATAAGGCAGTTAGTTAGGCTGTACCCTTGCTTCTTCTTCCTTTCCTCTGTTTTGTAGCTTGGGATGTGAAGTGTTGGTGCAGCAGCATCTTGTTCTAGGAGCATGTGAGCCACACCCAGAAGATGGTGGACTGGAGAGCTGGAAGGGGCAGGCATCCCTAAGGGCTTCCTAGGACAGGGCTGCCACACAACCCTGGCTAGACCCTCTCTGGACTTATTTACACGAGAAAGAGACAAATGTCTGTTACTCAGAGGTGAACCTAATCAGTACCAATACACTCATCTACTAAAATACAAATAGCAGAGCAAGAATTGAATTTGATTAGAGGGAAAACATAAGCAAAATATTTTTAAAAATTAAAATGGGTTTGTATTCTTAAGTATCTGAAGTATTTTCTGGCAACTATCTAATTTCTGGGGAACGCAGGCTTGCTATGATTACAAAATTCTTGTGCCTTGTGGTAATACAGCCAATATGAAACAAGTTAGGTTTGTAACAGGTCTTTAATCTTTAAGCCTTATCTAAGAGTGTATTATTGAAGATTATCAAAAGACCTCCTATAGAAGATCACTTCACTATAAGAGTGCCATGAAGAGGTTCTGGAGAACTGCATTATGAAATGCTTCTAGTATATTTTCTTGAACAGTTTCAAAATCAATTATTTCTCAAAAATAAATATAACTAGAAAGCTTTTATGATTTTTAACTCATTTTTAATCTACTTTATAAATACTGGCATTACACTTTGACCCATTATCGGCTTCAAATTTTACAATGCTATTTTTAAAAAGCATTTTAAAAAGTTGTCTTCTATCCTGTTTCCTTAAGTATATAAAGAAGGATGTAAGGGCCAGATTTAGAGACTGGAAGAAAGGTGCACGACTTGGAAGGGCTGCTCAGGAAGACAGAAGTTAAGGTGCAAATTTTACATACTGAGTCTTCGCTGGATAGGTTTGGGTTCATGGGAACATAATTCTCTTCACTGTCGTGTGAGTCACTGCTTGAAGTTGTGCTATGCACTGAATCCGGTCGGGGAGACAAGGGAAATCTAGAGGAACTAATTAAAGAGATTACCGTTACAAACCTAAACCTTGACAACAATTTCTAAAATCACTTCCAAGATAAAAATGAGTGATCGTTTACATTCTTTCACCAACAGTCACTAAAGTTTACAATCATTTATTGTACACATTTATTCATTACAACTTACTGCAAACCCTCAAATGCACACCTAATATTTATAGCTATATTGTAAAAAGTAGGCCTTTGGGCATCAAATTCCTGTGTAAAACAAAAGAAGTATTGCTAATGATTTGGGGGACAAGTAGAAAGTCACAGACATGAAAAGGAAGATTTAAGTTTCTATTAAATACAGCTACCTATATGTAAACATAAAACATGAACACATATTTAACGCAAGTTTATAACTTCACATATCCTTTAATTACCTATATATATTTGTTTGTTTATATCTCTGTATAAATACATAATTTAAATATATAAATTTATATTTATAATCTCCGCACCCAATGTTGGGCTTGAACTCACGACCCAGAGATTAAGAATTGCATACTCTTCTGACTGAGCCAGACAGGCGCCTCTTCTATGTACATTTTAGCAAATTCTGATTAAATAACCTCTGCCAAGAAACTACCGTATTTGCCAGATCAGTAGTTCTGAGAAATTTCTAGCCTCATGAATGCTTTATACCCTTGAACATTACCAGGAACCCTGAGGAACTTTTTGTTTATATAGGTTGTATCTATTTACTGTATTACAAATAATAGAACATTTTTTTTAAAACCCAGAGTACACAAATACACATTCTATTTATTAGCTGTCTCGGGGATGTGATCATACGTTACGCGGTCCCTAGAAAACTCCAGTGTGCACTCATGAGAGAAGCAGGAGTGGAAAGGCAAATGCCATCTTAGAATCTTAATGAAAATAGTTTTCACCTCACAGAACCCCAAAAAAGGGGGGGGTCCCCAGACTATACTTTGGGAACCACTGTTTCAGGTATTTTCCGTCATAGTGAACAATCAAGGTACACATTTCAAACAAAGACTTACTCTCGAGCAAAACTCCTAGTGATGGGAGATCTAACTGGGGCTTGCAGTTCTTCCCATTCTGGCAAAGGTTTTATTTCTAAAGGTGCTGGCTTGGCTGAAATGAAAGAGAGAAAAAGAGGCTTCAGTATACAGACATTTGAAAAACAAAACAAGATCCTCTATGTCTCTACTTATGTGTTATAGCCAAACACACCTAAGACCAATGGTTTCATACATGAAACGAAGTTCATGGGTGTTAAGTGATTTGCCCAAGGTTACCGAGCTAAATAATTAGTGACAAAAGCTAAATCAGATAATGTTTCACGATTGTTGATTCAAAGTCTAAAACTCTATTACATCATGTTGCTCCTTAATTTAATATTTTATGAATATAAACTAAAGAAAGGGTAATGTGACCCAATTCCTTAACAGTTATTTGATGTACAGTTTTCATTACTTCCTTATTTCTTTTTTTTTTTTAATAATTTTATTCTCAAGTATGGAGATTTAATCTATGTAAAAACATTTCTATTCAATATTGAAGCATCAGTTGTACAGCTATACGTATGACGTACAAAAAAGTATTAAATACAAAACTCTGATAAAATCAAAAACTGAAAACAGAATTCACTAAATCTTTTAAATTAATTCAAGCCCAGTCTGAAAACAAATAAAAGAAAGTAATAATATTTTAAGACTCACACTCAGCTGAGAGAAGGCCTAATTGAACAATTACCTTGAATTTTCAGCTTAATTTAACCAACAATATCCTTTATATCAAATTAAATAATAAACACACTAATAATATTCTTATTAGCCTGATTTATAAGTGGTCTTTGTTTATTTACCTCATTATCACAATAGGCAATTACCACGCTAGTGCATACCACAGAGCTCTCATTTTTTTCATGAGAGTGAAACATTTTTCAGAAGAACTAAAACAATATTACGTGTTAATGCTAATTATATTTTAGGAGATTATTTAAACATATTAGGTAAATATTCCAATTACATTTCATTCTGCCACTCCAAAGAAAAGTTTTCATTTTTCTAGGTTTCTTTCTTCTAGTCTTTGTCTATATATAGACATACTTTTACTCAACTCATATTTTTAATCAACTATGTTATAATTACAATCAAACTATAAAATAGGCGGTCATTTTAAAGGGCAATGTCGATTCACTGGGGCTTATAAGTATTTTTGTCTGTTCGATACGAAAAACTCAGTGCGATTTTCTAAAGACTAGATTAAATTTAAATCTTGCTCATCTATACCCTTAAAATGGACCAGCACAGAATACTGTGCTAAGTGAACGTATTTCTTTAACTCCTTATGTTTCACTTTTTTGAAACCCAAAGGCTAATGGCAGTTTAGCAGTCAAATTCTAAATAATGCCATAAAATAATGAATCTATGGAAGTGGTTCTGTATTTTGTCTTAGAATAGAATACATACAACATTATATATAAATAAAGGACACATTTGGAATTCACAAGTAGCTAACAAGCTTAAAGAAACAATGCACTGATGTCTAAAAGGTTAAGAGAATAATGTAAAAGAACAAGACTGAATACCATGTATTATCAAACTTAACATGCTGCTGTTAATGGCATAACAAGTAGACTTACTACGTCTATGGAAAGACAATGGGAAGACACACATTATGGGAAGCATTCACTTTAGAAATAACGTGCTAGGAAACTTTATTTACAACAGCGGTAGTATTTAAGTCTCTTCTCCTTTACTTTTTAAGAAAAAACATCACAAAATAAAGAAATTCCCAATGCCCCATCCAGCATGCGGTGCTAAAGTACATACCCTTTCTTCTTGTAGCAAAGTCACCTATGGTTTGTGAATCAGTTCGCTCTAAACCAGGGGGTTTGGGTCTTAAAATTTTAGGACTTTGACCTAATTGGTAAAAAGAAGATGCTCTTAATATAATGTTATTTTTTAATTGGAAAAATGGATTCTGTAAAAAAGCCACAGAGCCCTGAGCAGAAATGTCACACCTCAAAAGCATAAACATAAGTTTCATTGTGGAGAATATTTTAACCTTGCCACACATCACTCATGCTCAGTCCAAGGGAAAGGATGAAGCTGCATGCAACAGGGTAACAAGCAAAGTGTTATAAAAGATGGCAGGGTGTTCGTGGGGTAACCAGACTGGTTAGTGGTTATCTTTACTTGGGGGAAGGGAGGAAAGCCATGTGCCGTGTTACTCTTCTAACATGCCTTAGAAAACCGGACTAAATAATTGTAAAATACCTCCATCAGACCTCAAGTACATCTTTTCTTTGAAGTCTGATGTCTGATATGAAAGTACCGGGGCGTACTTTCCAATAGTATTATTTTCTTAATTTTATTCAGGTGTTTAAATAACCTTAATCTGACTATTCCTTTACCTCTTGACCAAAGCCCTTTGAGAAAAGCAGGTTGATGCCATGGTGTATGCTAACCCAACATTAAAACCAAGACTGACATTTGTCTCCCCTGGATATACTGGTAGCTGCCTGGTGACATAATTTTGCAAGGATCAGAAGCTAGGTTCTGGAACTGCTGACTGTCTAGCTTTGATTTAAGTATTTGAAAGCATAAATTCAGTTGCCATTATTTTCTTTTCATTTACTCTCTGCCACATGTAAGTACTGCTGAAAAGCCTTATGAAAAGTACAGGGTTAACACCCAGCAGTGGCCTCACTTATTCCCACAGGAAGCTTGGACGCTAGAGCAGCAACATCGTTTAAATCAGTTACTTGATTATTAAATCAGTTATTTGCTCTCTTCTCAGTGGCACCAAATTTACTTCTTTTTTGGCAATTACAAAATTTAGTCAGCATCTAATAGATGGCAAAATCAGAATTTGCCGACTAAATGACAATATCTAGTACCTGATCTACCAAAAGCTAAAGTTTCTGAAAATATGAGTCTCTAGGTTATAAAATAGGAAGACTTCTCTAATGAACCAATTTTCTGAGTTAGGTAATTAATACTTTGAGTTTATTCAGAAAGGGGGCAGGCTTAGTTTAAAATGTGAGTGATAAAATTTGAGGCCATGATCCTACCCCTAATGTTGACCTATCCAGGGCCCCCAATGGCAGGGCACTTTCCTAAAACAATGGAGGATGTCAGCTTTTTATAAACTCCCCCAAATAATGTACTTCCCTTCAAAAAAAAAAAGTAAGAGGCAGAGGGTAAGGTTTACTACAGAAAAATACACTTATTTTACAGCCGAAAGGCTTTTACAGATCAAATCCAGCTTCTTCATTTTATGGATGAGATACCCTTAAAGGACGAAAGAGGTTAAGTGACTTGCTTGGGTCACAACATTAACTGGAGGCCAAATGAAGGCTTCCCCTAACCTCCCACTGCTGGTGTATGCTCCTGTGCTGGCCACATTGTCTATCCCTTTGGGAATAGAAAATCCGAAGAAACCAGTGTTTAGAGGTCAGTTTTGAACTGCTAAGTTCAGTTTGAGATCTTACATCTACTTAAAGCCACAGATAATTGATTCGTGAGTAATGTGACATTTAATAATTACAAATTGCTTTTCAGAGCAACTTTTGGTTTGGTGGTGTTCACTCAGTGTCTTTTGCTCTGCTCCTTTTCAGCAAGACCCACTTTCATTAGCTCTCAGCCTCCTTCCGAGTTTTCAGTGTGGTTATCTCCCAGTGGTCACCCTCAGCACCTCTCAACTTTGCACCCTCAGTTATGTTCATCTATGTTTACAGTTAAATACTCAAGGTCATGTGACTGCTAAATCCACCTGCCTGTGAACTCTCCATTCTTCCATTGTCTGACAAGTCCCCATAGTGATCTTTCTAATACCTGACCCTGAAATGATCATCTCTTCTCCAAACCAATTCTACTTGTTTTTTTTTAAGTATCTCAAGGGTACTCCTTGGTTTTCTTAATAAAAAATACTGTATTGGAGAGTCTGGGTGGCTCAGTTGATTAAGCGTCCGACTTCAGCTCAGGTCATGATCTCACAGTTTGTGGGTTCGAGCTCTTTATCGGGCTCTGTGCTGACCGCTCAGAGCCTGGAGCCTGCTTCAGATTCTGTGTCTCCCTCTTTCTCTGCCCCTCCCCTGCTCGTGATCTGTCTCTGTCTCTCAGCAATAAATGTTAAAAAAATAAAAAGAAAATATTGTATCAAGTGCGGTTTTAAAAGTGTATTTATAAAATTTACCTGTATTTTCCACTTCATGCAAAGCTTGAGGATGATTTTAGGGCTCAAGGCGCAATGTGGAAATGTGGCAGTGAATTGTAGTGAGTCACTTAGGCATTTTGTTAGCTTTATTTCTTTACATCCCTCCAAACTCAATTCGACATTCATGTTCCGGAAAGAAATGAACGTCATACCCAAATGAGAGCCCAGTTATTGCTTATGAGGAGAGAAAGGTGAAAACGGATCCAAGGTGTTGGTATGCCTGTCGTGGCCCTGTCTTCTCTACTGTCTACTGGCAAATATTTGAATGTTTCCCTGATTGTTGGAGAAAAGTATGAAATAAGAAGAAATAAGAATAATAAAGTAAAGGCAAAAATAAACCAACTTTGGAGATACATTGATTCTCAAATGCTGAGAGTAAGCAGAGGAACTCATTTGAGCGTTAACTTTTAAATCCAAGGCAGTTTGCAACCTGATTTCAGCTACACTAAATTTGAACAGATAAAGCAACATTATTTCTTTTGCAGACAGCCGTTCACTACTGGCGAAATTCCTATTGGACTTTAACCCTTGAGGGGGTCAATCTCTGGATCATGTGACTTATTCCCTCATTTGGAGTACAAATTAATAAATCTTCATCTCTGGTTTAGATCTTTCCCTGGAAGATCCTAACCTACACCTCTGCACAACTACCCCATATGGATATTCCGCCAGCATTCACACTACATGTTCAAAACGGAATTTATCCTTTGACTCAGCACCACAAACCTGCTTTGTTTTCTCTATTAGCAGCTGCCATGGCAGATCTCTTAGGAGTCTTTCTAGCTTCTACTTTCTCTCTAATCTTTATTCTGTAAGTTTTAATTTATATTTATAATGACAATAGTCTGTTTCATTTACCTAAAAAAATAAAAAAATCTGCAAGTCTGAAGTCCATTCTTTAAAACTCCCTGTTTTTAAAGTGCACTTCACTTACCTGGTTTGTTTCCCTGAAAGTGAAGAGCTCACACTGTATGGCTAAATGACTTCCACCTATATTCTAAATGCCCTTAAAACTTGTAAAAATCACTTAAGTCCCCAAGTTGAGGGACCATGAGAGCGAGGAAAGGGATTTTGTTATGCCTTTACCCATCTAATCACTTCTAAACCAAGGCTTTGAGAACCTTGGATTTGGAAAACTGAGCGAAGCACTCTCTGAGGAAGATGCTGAAAAAATGTGATTTTTATAACATTTTAGAGAATACAGGTTTTTTTCTTTTTTCTATCATATCCTTAAATCTTAAACTGAGCTTTCTAGGGGCTAACCTGATTATGTTACTTGCCTGCATAAAACCCTTTAATGGGTGTACCCAGAATAAAGCCCAGACTCATTAGCATGGATTATAACACCCTCAGGACCAGGCACCTGCAAGGCATTTGGCATTCCCTCCTCCATTCATACTTTACTCCCGTCCTCCCTTCCCATCTGATTTCCTCCCTCCCACTCGCGACTCAGCCAGTCCCATCTGTCCTCTTTTAAAGGATCTGGGTATGCCATTTATTCGGACTAAAACAATCTCTGCCATCCTCCCCTCCTCTACCATCGTTTAATTGCCATTCACCCCCTCAGACTTTCCTCAGGGGAGCTTAGATAACAGTGCCAAAAGCTTACCTCAACCACAGTCCTTTCCACGCTAATTATGATAATGTGTTTACTTTTCAACCTCCTCCACTAGACAGTGAGCTTCTTCAGGGAAGCCATTTATACCTTCCTTGTAGTCGAAGACCCAAGACCCAGCAAAGACTATATCCTATAATGGCAGGCACATAAATCTATGTGGATGAACTGCAGTTCTCTTACAGCTGGTGGTGTTTGATCAACACCATAATTTTTTGTTGTCCTTTAAATGGAAACTAAGAGCAACTGAATGTTGTTTCAAAAGTTGGTCACCCCAAATATGGTCAAGGAAGTCACACGAGGTCACGTTTCAAATAAGCAGATGTAATCTTTTTTGGAAAGTCCGTACACTATCAAGTATTATTTTAATAGGCACTGCTTACATAAATTCAGCACAAAGTAGAACATTTATTTTGTGTATAATTACAGGTTTATCTTAGCCTAAAATATTTACTCTTCTGCAGTTTTACAGATCATTTTGTTTCCATTAGGCATCTCGAAAATTAAGAAAGAAGAAAGATAATTCACAACATTATTATCCTTTGCTAAATTCCAAAAAGTAATCCGGGTAGTATCGTGAAAAACTTTTACACCTGTTTTAATAGTCTCATTGTATGAAGAGGAATATAATAATGATACTTATATATTGGAAGGTAAAGAATTTTCAGGAAAAAAAAAAAAACCCTGCATGTAAAAGTTATGCTATAAAAATGCACTCCATTGTTCTAAAAAGTGTGATTTATTTAAGTCCTCTCTATACCTAATGTGGGACTCATATTCATGACCCCAAAATCAAGGCTCTCATGCTCTTCTGACTGAGCCAGCAAGGCTCTCCAAAAATGCACTCCATTCTCATTTCTTTTAAATTCTAACTCTAAACCAAAAATCTGACTTGAGATTCAAACTTAATACTTGTTTATTAAAAATCTAGTTTTATTTACTAGTATCATTCATCCAACTCCCAAACATTTATTATAGTATAAAAGTAATTTTTAAAGAGCATGTTGGGGCACCTGGGTGGCTCAGTCAGTTAAGCATCCAGCTCTTGATTTCAGCTCAGGTCATGAGATCGAGCCCCGAGTTAGGCTCCATGTTCAGCATGGAGCCTGCTTGGGATCCTCTCTCTTCCTCTCTCTGCCCCTCCCTCGGCTCATGCTCAAGCTCACTCTGTCTCTAAACAGAGTGAATAAATAAATAAATAAACATTAAAAAAATAAAAATAAAAAGTATGTTAATTTTTAGTCACAGTCAAAAACTTTAAAAGATCTCTTGAAAAAACATTTAGAGCCCATATGTCAACTGTGCCAAAAAGACCCATCTAGGGAATATCCTTGGGACTCGTCTTCTGGATCTGGACTGGTCTTCACCTATACTGAGGTGAAGACCTGAAGATACTCTAATCAGACTAATGTACAAAAATACCAGAAATAAATCAAAATCAATACAATAACTAATGGTCAGAACTACTGCAGAAAGCCATGGATGGACAAAGCTGAAGAAAACAAACTATAAAGATAGCATCTGAGGCTCAAATGGCTGCCGCATCATGTTAGAAGGAGACTGGATGGAAGTAGGGGGGACCTAGGTCAGTGCAGTGATTAAATATGGTAGGTTCATGTAATGATTTACTTTAAGAGAAGCCACAATAAATACAGAAATTTCTAAAACTATATAAACTTGATTTTCAAGTAAAATATAAATTTTAGTGGAAGCAATCAAAACAATTTGCTCTGCATTTACAATGACTCATATGATCTTCTATATTTAATACAACCTATATAAATTATGCTTTTTCTCCTCTATTAATATACCCAAAACTTGGTTCAAAACAAATACTATCATGACAGAAATAGTATGGCTGAAAATATAGCTACCACAAGTTGGGTGACGGGCAAAGGGTCCATGAAAATACATTAAACATAAATGTTAAGAACATCTATGTATTTCTGAAGCTTCAGTTACTCAGAAGTATTTGAAAAACGTATCTGAACTGCTAACTACAGCAGCTGACATCTATATTTGGGGTTATAAACAAGGCCAGAATGTCACTCATTTGTTGCAGACTCTTCTAAAGAAGACAATCACAGAAATTGGTTATATTGGGTGTTGAACCAGTTATATTGGGCTTTGAAACGAATCAAGCCATATTTGATAGAATTCGGTTTGCTAATTATGAAGTTTAGTTAATAAGAGATACTAGAACAATAGATTGAGACATGCATCTGATGTCACAAAATGTGAAAGTAAAACAGACTCATCTGCTGCTATGCATGAGAAGAATTTCATGAGAAGAAGAACAAAAAAGACATTTGTTTTACAGCTTAAGTTTTTAAAGACAAACTGCTCCAAGATCTTTACTTGGGTTTTAAAATATATTTTTCTTGAATCGCTTTAACTTTCTAAAGTGAGTTGACAAACTGCCAAGTTAAATAGTCTCTCATGCTTCCTTTCTTGTATATTTATTTAAAAAGTAGAATAGTACTAACGAAAAGCAAATCCTTATTTTTTTTTAAATTACTATGATTTTAGTAATCTCTTTACTGTTTTGCTAAACCAATTCTTCTTGATTTTGCCTAAACTATATATTTTATTCTGGGTGCTTTCTCAGTTCATTTTGTATCTAAGCATAGATACCAAATAAGCAACTGGCCAATGAACTCAGGATTGTCTCTCAATAGTTCACTTAACTTTTAAGACTGAACACAACCTCCAGAAGTAACTAAGAACCTACTTTGTTCTGTTCTACTATAAAGTCACTTCAGGTTGGTTTAGAGTACTGGGGCAATTAATCTCTAATGTACTTAGAATATACTGTACTTTTACCATATAAATAGGGAGGTATAATTATACATATATGTAATGTAAATGATACATAGCATACATGCCATATTATCATGATATATACATAGGATAATACATATTATAAAATGGGGTACACGAGCTGTCAGACCTAGAGAATACTAAAAGATCTTAAAACTTTTCTAACATATAAATAAGGGGATCTTTTGCATATTGTATGCAAAGAAGAAAATGACTAAAAATGTCTAAATAGATTTAAAGACAAATGAGGACAAAGAGAAGCAAAAGGAAAAGTTGTCAAATAAAAAGCCTGTGATGCTCACACCCTTTCTAAGGTAACTATTCCTGACTATGGCCCTGCTGCTGGGGCTGTCTGGGTGGCTGTGGGTGTTGCGCATGGTTATCTTTCCAGCTGTGAGACCAAAGGTGGGCAGCTGACCAGTGGCAGCCAGTCTATGGGCTGGCCTGCAATTAATCACATGGTCTGGTGTGAAAAGACAAATAACAGCAATCGGATTATCCATGAGCACTCTAAAGTGAGTGAATAATGATCAAGGCAATTAGCAGCAGATGTGGAAGCTGCAAGGGCATTAAAAAGGGGCCCTGAGGCAGAACCAAGGCCACAGAGGGGCACTGTAGGCCAAAGCTCTAGGAAAGCAAAAAATTGTGCAGAGGATATAGAACAGGAAACAGAAAAGAAGGAAATAATGTGAGATAGAACAAAGCAGATGCAAAGACTTCCCAGAGGACAGAAATGCAGACAGCAGGACAAAGGGACAGTCCCCTGGGAGTGCCTCTGTTTCCAGTAACTTTCTCATTTCAGCACAGGACCATCCTTACTTACTTAAAGGCAAAATAAAACAAAACTCATTTTCTTCATATACCCTGAGTGAGTCTCACACTCTGTTCCCCACAATTGGAACTTAATTAGAATTATTATTAATGATCTAAACCGAGGTTAATGAGAAATTTACACAAATATTACATGCTCTTAAAAAGCTATATACAGCACATGAGACTTTTCAAATGTGCTGAATTCCCCAGAAATGGTGCCAACTTATCACAGAGCCAATATACTAACTTACTTCGTTGTCAAGATTAAATCACACTAACAGCATGCTGCAGCACTGCTAGCTGTCTGGGTTTTAACCACTCAAACCCAAAACCTGGGTATGTATTACCAGTTTGAGAATTTTCTTTTATATTGAGTTCTTAGCAAACCATGCTACCGTAGAATTTTATGTTACTTAGGAGGGCCAGTGTGAAAGAACAGACTAGAAGCATTTATAATAACCCAGCAAAGGCAGAATAATTTTTAAGAAGTTGTCATATGGACTGGAAAAAATTGTGCAAGCAACCTCACTATTCTTAAAGAATTTTAGCAAATGCACTAATAATCTCAAATCTGATTTGATATTCTATATTCCGGAGAAGAGGTTACAAAACAGCAGTCAAAGACCAATCTAGCCTATAGAAGTGTTTGGTTTGGTCTGCAATGTTTTTATTTGGTTGTTTTTAAATTAAACTAGCTGATCGAACTCCAAAATCAAAAGATAATACTTATATGTAAGTGCTGAAATTTTTGGCTTCTTTTGATACATCAGATGATTTGCCCATATGGGCCTGTATTATTTTCACAAGTCAACAAAGGATTATAGCCAAGGAGTTAGTTATTCCATTTAGAATGGACAAGTGCATTCCAGTTTCTCCTAATTTTCTCCTGTTGCTTGCCAAACCTTGTGAGTATTTCAGTTTGTAACCTCTGCTCTAGAGACAGGAGGCAGAAATCTCACCTGGGCCATCAACATACAACAATTATTAATCTACAAATAGCAACACCGCACATGAACAGATTGATAACTAAGGTACTATGAAATACTTCAGAATTTCTAGTCCCAATTCCATTTTGGATTTAACGACAGTTAAGTGCAGATCTAAGCTGGCAGTCCCTGGCCCTTTCACTATGCCAAGGCCCTTCTTACCTTTTCTGTCGGGCTTGAGGTTCCTATCCACAGGGGGTGGTTCACAGTCTGCAACAGGAACTGGCCTTCGGGGAGGGGTCTTTGGGCTGGACCGGAAGCCCATATGAGCTGGAGGAGGAACTTGCATTCCAAACGAAGAAAAATCAAATGTTCCCGGAGTCATTGGCACATAATTTGCTTCCTGAATTGGTTCCGTAAAACTGCTGGAATGTTGTCGTGGAGGAGAATTGGGATTCATTGGGACATAATTTTCATCCAGTTCTTCACTTGATACGCTTCCCACTGTCAATATATTTTTGATTTTCTAAAACACACATACATTAAACAAAAACTATTATCAAACAGGAAAACACAGTTGTAAGTCACACCTATTCATATGGATCTGAAAGGACTTTTATTTCATGATCTCATTTAGTTTCAGGGCACTAAGTGTGAAGATCCTGACAATGAAACACACTTGATACCAAGGTCAGTTATACTTACAAAGTGGTTATGGAAGCCTTCAAGTGAACTAGATCTGTCACTTGGAAATGTTCGTGGAATATCATAGCAGTCTTGAGAACTAGCATCTAAAATAGAAAACAAACTATAAGCATTTCTTCCCATCTTTGCCATCTCTTAGGATTCTCAGAATGATCTGTTCTCTTTCTTTACACGCATGCATGCAGGTAAGCATGCACATGCGCAGATTTTTAAAAAGATGCTCACAGAACAGTATCTTGAATGGGCACATTAAACCACCAGAAAACAGACACTCACTGATATGCTAACCAGTACCAGCATTTGATTATGGCAATGAATGATTGTCTAAGCCTGGGATGAGATGGGTATTTAATGACGGAGAAAAGAAATACTTCTATTTTCCCATCTTTTGCACCACATTGGGCCTAACTTATATCTCAGTAACCTATAATTAGATTACAGAGCTACTTCAAGTAGGGAATTAAAAACTGGTATTGAGGGGCGCCTGGGTGGCGCAGTCGGTTGAGCGTCCGACTTCAGCCAGGTCACGATCTCGCGGTCCGTGAGTTCGAGCCCCGCATCAGGCTCTGGGCTGATGGCTCAGAGCCTGGAGCCTGTTTCACATTCTGTGTCTCCCTCTCTCTCTGCCCCTCCCCCGTTCATGCTCTGTCTCTCTCTGTCCCAAAAATAAATAAACGTTGAAAAAAAAAAATTAAAAAAAAAAAAAAAACTGGTATTGAATGGCCAAATAGAGTATCCATATTAGTACTATTCACGGTGCATTAAATCTTCATTTTCTTTAGGACAGGTGGATAACTACCACAAAACACAGAAACGTTAGCACATAGTTTATAGGGTATGTGCCTCTTAAACTCTGGCCTTCTATTTTTTAGGACTTTAAGAACCTCAGATTGGAACCCAGACTGAATTTTTCCCCTCTCAAGGTCTGTAATTTTTGGCAGGCTCTAGGAGATGGTATAGGACTCAGTGAAGTGGCTAGGGTAAGGGGAGAGAAGATTCAGAGCTTTAAAAATAAATAAAACCAAACAAACAACTGATTAGGACTGAGTATACTCGTTGGGTACAACATATAAATTGCTTATCGAGGAAGGAAGGAAACGGAGCCCAACAGATGTGACGCGGAAGCAGCTATGATGGCACACAAATACAGGAAAGGGATGACTCGGAGAGGCTTTGTGGCTGGTCCTTTTCCTGCTCCTCTGTCCCATTAGAGTCTACACACCCAGGATACATGGAAAGCAGGAAAGAGGGGTGCACACTTCCTTTGGCAGGAAGGTATTACTAAGGCCATACTTCTTCAGGGATGGAAAACTCCACCTCTTTCTCCCTTCCAGCAGAGCATGCACACAGGCACTCGCTGCATGCACAAACACCCTTCAAAGGATCTACTGAGACTCTGCCATCTTCCTACATGAGTGGGTGACTGCAGAGCTGAGGAAAAAAAGGACTATCATTTACCATCATTCTATGCTGAAAAGAACAAATATTCAGATAAACAGATTTTCTATCGTTAACTTCTAACACAGTAGAAGCCAGTTAGAGCTGACCTTTTCGCAATTTGTTCAAATCCACAGTGGAAATGGTATTACTACGTGATGGTGGCATCCCTGCTGTAGGGATACAGTAACTACTGTCAGTATCTGAGGCCGTGCGTGTGATACTACACGTTTCCACAGGCGATCGGTCATGAGCCGGATGTGGTTTCGGTGGCCGAGGTGGAGGAATATCTGGAATAGTGTCTAGCTTTGACGTCTGTCCCAAAGTTCCTTCTGGAAATGTTCGTGGAATCTGATAAGTATTACCAGGTGTTGGAGGAATGTCATAACTAATAGATACATGCCTCATTTGAGTCTCTACACTTGATGTCCCAGATGGGGTATTAAAAACATAGAGTTCTCCATCTGCCTCGGTACTTGATGGAGACACCTTTGGTAAAACATCGTGGGAGTAACTTCTGGGCAGGTTATAAAGGCTGGAGTCTACAGAAACAGATGCAGCACGAGACGGTGGAGAGTCATACATCATTTGCTGCTGAAAAAAGCCATTCACTCCATGTTTGCTCTGGGAGGAAGCAGGATTTTTATGAGAAGGGACGTTATCATTGCAGTCTGTTTCAGAAGAGGTGGATTTTGCAGAATCAGCATGTGTTCTAAATAAAAATTGTTAATGACAGAAAATAAAACACGGTGAAGACATAAGACTACATTTTAATAAATATATTTATAGTTTAGCAATCAAACTACATGGCTTTTTTCATTAGATTTTTTTGTGTGATCCATAAGATTTAAAGCATGAATGTTCCTTAGTTTTTATGATTATACACCAGACAATAAAACCACCACCACAAAACCACCAAAAGCATTCTCCCTAATTCCTGCCCTGTACGTGCCCACACCCCCAAATCCACCTATTAAATCCATGATCCCTGAAGCACTGGAATTAGAAAGGTACAAAACTCTGAGAAAGGTAAATGATTAAGACATAGACACAAGGAAAATCATTTCCCCTGAAGAGCATGCAGAAACCTCGTGCCAATGCAGTTTATCAAGCTGGTCCATTGCTCTTTAGCCCACCTGTGGCAAATTCGTTGTTCTGCAAGACTATAAGTCTAATGATTTCCTGGTATTGAATAAATTCAATGTGACCTACAAGGAGGTGGCAACTTGAAAGGTTTGTATATCTTCCTTTCTACTAATTTTCTTTAACAAACACTCAGCCAATACTATAAAGACGATCAAAATATAACGCACAGAGTTCGCCAACTCCAAAAAATAATTAACCTTGAGAAATCTCATTAGAGTATATTTAATGTTTTGGGTACATTTCCAGTCTTTGCTTTCTGTGGTATCACAAAATTTGGGTAAAAGCCAAAATGAAGCTAGCGATACCAGCACATTGCACTTCCTTAACGGTTAACAAGATACTTAACCTCTTTTGAGTGATGTCTAAAGTCCGGTAGGAACTTGAATTTAATCTTTTAAAATGTAACTTGTGAGAGTTATTTAAGGTCTGATCTCCCCTGATCTTTTAGTAACACCTAGCACTATGTATCACATGTATTTATTCAAACTCTCCACCGCTGGTGTCACGGAACCCATACTGTAACATCCTCACTTCCATTCTCCCTCGCTGATTACTCCCTTGTTTCACTGACTGGCTCCTTCTCCCCGTGTCTCCACCCGGGAACAGCCAACAGAATCCAGTCTTCTGGATTCTGATTCTTGACAACACACACCATTTAAAAACCCTCCTTTCTCATGACTTCACATTCCACTGAATGCTGATGACTCCCATCATCTCACCAAACTCTTGAGTCCCATATTTTCAAACTGTTCAAATATATTTCTACATGGTTACCCCAGTGTTAACCCTGCTTATGCATACCAAGCCAAATTCAACTTACTTCTCAAACTGATTGTCCTTTCTGACTTGCCATGAAAAGAAATGTCTTTATCCAGATTCTCTAGGCTCAAAATGCAATCAGCGTTGACTCACTCTCTTTGATCTCCACCATCCCCCTTCAGGCACTGACTCCTTCTTCCTAACCAAGTAACTGTTCCCTGCTCTGTTCCCACTGTCCCCACCCCAAGTTCAGGTCTGGGTCTCTGCTAAGATCCACACCACCGAACCCTCCTAAGAAGTCTCAGTGGACCTCCTTCCTCCAGTTTCTCCCTCTTCCAGTGAACTCAAGGGACCATACTGCGAGGCTGCTATAAGGTCAGTATTTTCAGAACATGGTTTTCATATCACTCATCTATTTGGAGAAAATACTGTTAAAGGTCCCAGCAGGCTGTGGGAACTACAAAAAAAGCCCACAAGCAACTCCACTTACCATCCCTGGCTATACCATCCCTGGCTGAGGCTATACCATTCCTGGCTCCACCTGACATGCCCTATCTTATGCCCTACTCTCCCCCAGTGGAACCCTCTACTCTGGGCAGGCTTTCCTCTCATTTGCTTCCTCTGGCCCCTCACTCTCACCTCGCCTTTCTCTCAAATGCTTTTTACGCAGATTGCTAATGACAGGGTCCTCTTCTCTCACCAACAAGTATAGTTCAAATCCTACACCTCCTTGGAAACGTTTCACCTCCCATTTTAAGAACACGTGCACTGTCCCTTCTAGGAATTTCTAATGCATCTACACATATTCTAAATTTGCACTTCATTTAATTCAAACATGTGGGTTAAGAGAAGCTAGAAGCACAAGTAATAAGTTCCCTGCTCTTGACTAGCTTATGGTTTAGCGAACAATAAACTATATATATCAAACTATTTCCAATTCTGTGATAAAAGGGAGGCATGACCAGGATGCTATGAAAACCCACAGAGGAATTTAGTTCAGGCTGGGAGTTTGGAGGAATGTTTCCTAGAGGAGTAGATGTCTCAGCTGAATCCTGAGTCCTGCCAGATGAACAAGAGTTTGCAAAGCAATTCTCCTGCCTTCACCTGCAGACACTTAACGTTCGCATGTTTTGACTTCTTCATAAGCTTTGCTTGTAAACTCTGAGGGTGACTGTATCTGAGGCGGCTTATGTAGTTAGTCTGTTCCTTCACAGCACCTACCAAGACAGTGGGCACATAGTGGGTACTTCATAAATATCTGTCAATTAACTGTCACTTCTGCAAAATACATAGATACAAAATCTATCTGAGCAGGGATTCTCAGCATAATTTCTACTATAACAGGAAAGCTGTAACACCAATGAGATCAATGAAAGATACCATATAACAAGAAAATGCACTGAAAACTGTGACTTAGCTATCGGCTTTTAAAAAGTTGTTACTGAAAAATAATTGTGAACCTCTATAAAATAAAATCTTAGTTAGTAGCAGAGGTAACAAAGTTGCGAATGTATAATTTTAAATACTCACAGCAAACAAGCAAAATCAAGTTAGAATTTGATATTATTAACTAGTGTTGATTTATAAAAAGATTTTTGTTTGTTTGTTTTTGTTTTTGTTTTTTTGCTCTTACAGGTAAAATCCCATTACAACAAATATCTAGAAACCCATCTTTGGAATGTCTGTATTCCATTATCTTGGGGAATCATTCACAACAACCTAATCTGTGGTTCTTGACAAATTCTATATAAAAATTGTTGAACAAGCACTTTGTACCATCTTAGTCCGGTAACAGTCACTTTCTCCATGAAAACAATCACAACAATTTTTTGTTATAAAATAATGCTTAATATCCAATCACTCCATTTAAAAAGCATCTTTCACATCTACGATGTAATTCCCACTTTTATATTCCTCAAGTGAGGACATAAATACCCCCAACATTACTAGTTGCCACCAACTGCTGATGGCAGACACGGGTTCCCTGGTCTTCATTTTCTGGCTCCAATTCTGTTACCTCTGGCCTTCCAATTAACAGAAAATGAAAAGAGTGATCAAATGAAACTACTGCACAGCTTAGAAGAAAAGAAAGAAGCAGGAAGGGAGATGATGGGGAAACCAAGGATTTGGGGAAGGCTTTATGATACCTTTGGGCAAGCACTGAAGTCCACAGATTTGTTTCTACTTAGAAATGTATAAACTCAGAGCTTGAGGTAAGCTCTGCTTCACGGCTAGGTACGATGACTGGAAAGTTTTACGGTTTTTAGCAATATACTTGATTGATTAGATTTCATCAAATTTCACTAAAACCCAATTTATATATTCCCATAGAATTTGCTATATTGGGATTTTACCTGTATAATTAATTTCTCACACAGATCCAAAGCAACCACAACACACTCACTGCAACGGAATCGTTTTGCTTTCAAAATCTTCTAGTAGTAGGTATTCCTCTCCTTCTTCAGAAACAAAAGATGACCCTTGGCTGGTTTACAATCACATAAGAAATGGAGCAAGATCACCATTTATAAATCAGTGCAATCTGTTAAGCAAGTAATACTGTGAGTCTGTAACAAAGACTATGAAACAGGAGACAGATTTCTAAAAGAGCCTTGTAGGTACAAGTGTTTTTTGCCAAAGATAGTAGAGAATGCGTTTCTTCCATAAAACTCCTGAATATCAGAAACCATTAGAAGACTATAACCTGAAATATAGTAAGCCTAAACTATAACCCTAGATAGCTGGGTTTCTGTTAAGCCTTCAAATCAGAATTTAAAAAGTTTCAAGATTCTAAGTGCGCACGCATGCACACACGCACAGGTATTTACCTGGTGGGTTCAGGCTTCTTGCTTTGACAGTTGATTAGCAAGAGGTAGTCTTGAGGATCCTCTTGGATGCCAACAGTTTCCAGGTGTGGTGGAAGATTAATTAGCTGATAGGGAGGAGGTGGAGCAGCGGAGGATGAATCTACCTGGGTGGACGGCGGTGCTGTGTTGACCGCCAAAGGTAAATCGGCTGGCGCCTGGGCAGAGTTGCCAGGGGGCTTCACAAGATCTGCAACACCAAAGTAGAACTGTCATCGTCTATCCCATTTTAAGGGCTGTTTCTTAAATAAAGCTCCTTGAAAGTTTGAAGACAAACTGTTTGAACACACAGGAGAGTGATAAACCATGACAATGTCAGTTAAAACAAATTCTACCTATACAGCAACATTTGTACAAGAAATTATTGGCTCTTGTCAAAGAGATATGAAGAGTAAAGGCTCTTTCTTCCAGGGGCTATAATAAAGCCATGTTAACTTTGCCTTGAACAATCTTTAGTTTTGAGGCTACTGGCAATGAAGATGTTATATAATCGTAGCACCAGAGGTAGATTTTTTTTCCATAATAAAAAAACAGTGCTTCCCATGCCAAGCCAACTTTCCAAGGAGGACCATTTTATTATGTGGCATTTACAGGCATGAGGATCACCTCTTCGCCCCATCTTTATTTTGCTGTTCGTTCTTTTCCTTCTACTCCTCAGCAGACTAAGGAGAAATAGTTCAAATTCTGGGATTCATGTTCAGGGAAAGAGATTTTCTTTAATGCTTCTCCTCTCCCCTCAGCTCATAGCCTCATTTACCATTTATTGGGTTTCTGTAATATTTTCAGGCAAAAGGGGTCAGCAAGTGAGGGAGTAATTTATTAAGCACTTAACAATGTTCTGAGAAGATATATGAAGCTAGCTAAATTGTTTACAGTTAAGTAATCTGAAAACAAACTGAAAACCTAGAGATAAAATCCCACGTTAATCACTGTCACAACCAAATAAATTTTCAAGAACCCAGAAGAAAAATTCTCTGTTAGTGTGGTTAGGAATACAAGACTAAAAATCCATAAAAAGGTAAATACTCATATATGAATAAACAAATTTATTTACTGTCTGTTTATGTTAGAACAGAAAAGGCTGGCTTCAAACGGAGATTTTTTTTTTAATAACAAAACATTATCTAAAAGACACTAAAAAGTGGTAAAGGATTTAATATGTTCAACCAAATAAAATCAAATGGGAGGTCATATGACCTGTCAATTCACCAGGAAGGAACTACATGTCAGCTCTAGCTTCCCTAGACACTACAGGATAAGTCCACATGGTTTTGATAATGTCTTTATGTATTCAACTTTAATATCTGTATATGCACCACAGCAAAATTTATGTAGTTTATATTTTATAACTGTTCTTCCTAAGCACAGAAGCTCATATCATGGGGCACCTGGGTGGCTCAGTCAGTTAAGCATCCAACTCTTGGTTTCAGCTCAGGTCATGATCTCATGGCTTCATGGGATCGAGCCCTGAACCGGGCTCTGTGCTGACAGTGTGGAACCTGCTTGGAATTCTCTCTCTCTCTCTCTCTCTCTCTCTCTCTCTCTCTCTCTCTCTCTCCCCCCCTGCCCCTCATGCATGCTCTTTCTCAAAATTAATAAACTTTTTAAAAAAGTTCATAATTATAAAGCTTGAATAAACACATTAGTATGGCTAAATATAAGTTTACCTTTATTTATGGGTCCCCAAAACAAACACAAAGGATCAGAACTCCTATGCATCAGTGTGCCCCACAGGTGGTAGATGCTTAAAGTGTTTCATTCACCTAGCAGAAACTCACTAAGCACTTTCTTTCTTTCTCTCTCTCTCTTTTTTAAAATGTTTATTTAAAATAAATAAATAAATAAACAAACAAATAAATAAATAATGTTTATTTTTGAAGGAGAGAGAGACATAGTGTGAGCAGGGGAGGGGCAGAGAGAGAGGAAGATACAGAATCTGAAGCAGGCTCCAGGTTCTGAGCTGTCAGCACAGAGCCCGATGCGGGGCTCAAACTCATGAGCTGTGAGATCATGACCAGAGCCAAAGTCAGACTCAGCTTAACCAACTGAGCCACCCAGGTGCCCCACTAGGCACTTTCTCTACGTCATGCTGGAAGAGATTATGGCAAGGGGCACTCCCAAATCTTCAAGATCCATTCAGCTGCAAGTGCAGTTTGGAATTTGCTCAAGCATTATGTCAGCCCTACTAGGTGCTAATTTAAGTATGAAGACTTCTTTCACTTGGAGAGTTTGGCCTGAGTACATAGAAGTTGAGCTAATTTCTAACATTTTCTCTTTGTTATGCTGCATGCAATGTCAAGTCTTCATACAAGCTCATCTAATAAAATCTAATACTTTATGCCAGGAGTTAATTCCTTCTTATTTATGAAAGGTGAGAAAAGAAAATGGTGAGAACAGAAAAATATTCTTTTGGACATTTATACAACATAATGCCATAATTTCAGTGGGAACTCATAAATACCTCATTTAGGTCTAATAGATGTTGATTGCCAATAGTGTACATAATGTACTCTGTGAAATGTTTTACTGTTTTGACTCAGTTACAAATATATAAAGATTTAGTTAAGAGGACTTTACATCAGTGATTCAGTAAATCCTTGTGCATTGTTAAACTTAAGAGAATTATGAAAAATATTTACCTGAAATATAAAAATTTTCAGAAAAAATATTTTCTGAAGAGCTTTCAGAAAAACCTATACAACTTCAAGGAAGAAAAGGGGGGGAGGCGAGAGGTCAGAAAGCAGTTACCATATCCTATTGGCTGTATTCACAAATACATTTTACATACTTCTTTTTGTGCCACAGACATGTGGTAAAATCGTATGATCCCATTCAATTTTTAGTTCTGACCAAAACAAAATGAAACTCAACACTGGAAACACATCACTAAATAAAACAGTCTGAAACCTAATTCTCCACTGTAACTCCTAAAGTAAGTTTTTCAGGTGGATGTTTTTAGAGATACACTTTTCCTTTAATATTTTTTCTAAACTTGATAGCTACACACTAAATGAACACAGTGATTCATCTTCAGTGTGGGAAAAGAATCACCCGGCCAGGCAATCCTTTTATCTGACCCTGTTTTATTAACACAATGGGACCATCTCATTTTTAACCTTCCATTTCTTCTACCTGTGAATGACTAAAGTTTTTTTATCCTCTTTAGAGATGCAAGATCCTCTCAATTTCTGGAAGAAAAAAAAAAAAGACTGGGATTCAAAGGTTCCTTTTTAAAAAATATATAGTATCTTGTTCACAATATGGGAAAGCTTGCATCTACTTCTAAGAGGCAAGAACTGGAGAGAACTTCCACTATGTTCACTAGCAAGCTCATGAAAGAAAAGACTTTTAAACAGCCATGAAAAGCAAGCCCAACCATTCCAAACAAGATGGCATATGAAAACTTAAAAAGGAAAGGGAACCGGGGCACCTGGGTGGTTCAGTCGGTTAAGAGTCTGACTTCGGCTCAGGTCATGATCTTGCGTTCGTGGGTTCGAGCCCCGGGGCAGGCTCTGTGCTGACAGCTCAGAGCCTGGAGCCTGCTTCGGATTCTGTGTCTCCCTCTCTCTCTGCCCCTCCCCTGCTCGTGCTCTGTCTCTCAAAAAAATTAAATAAAACATTAAACTTTTTTTTTTAAAAAAGGAGAGGGAACAATGCTCTGCCACTTTGGCTCAGATAATGCACTATCTTCAAAGTTTTAGTCTTTGGGGCTGTTTTACTCATATTAATTTGACTATATACTCAGCTCTGCATATTTTAATGCAAGCATTGCAGTGTGTCTAAGTACTCTCATTTCTGGTCAAAGTTAACCAATTGGTCTGAAAAACTTCTGTTCCACTTTATAAAGACACATGATTTACCCAATTCTGCCCGACAAGTAGTTGAGCAGATCCCGTCTGTTGTTTTCTGCCTCACCTGGGTCTCTAACTTACTGCTCTTTCTAAGTAATGCTGGTATCAAGTTTCTGAGAACCAAATATCAGCTTAGGGTTTGCTTATGTGTGTAAAATCATTTCCTGTGTCTTAATTCAAAAAACATAAAGAGTATAATTAGCATTCGTTAAAGGCCTAATAAGCTGCTGGAGCAAATTCTTAACTAAATTTTACTTAGAAAGGTAACAAGTACTGGTAAGGTAAGCTTCAACCAGCTTTTGGTGAAGAGAAGTATATTATTATGTGAAGAGAACTACAAATAATAAATTGGTCCACATGACCCTGGCTTAATGCACAGTTTTATCCTGGTTGGAACCATAATGCCCTGGTGTTACTGTCCCTCATAGAAGTCGGGTGCCTACGTAATGCCTCTAAACAGTCAAAATAACATATACCGATATATTTTTTCTTTTAATTTGAGAGAGAGAGAGAGCGAGAGAGAGAGCGAGCGTGTGAGTCGGGGAGAGGGACAGAAGGAGAGGGACAATCTTAAGCAGGCTCCACACTCAGCAAGGAGCCCAATATGGGGCTGGATCCCATGACCCTGGGATCATGACCTGAGATAAAATCAAGAGTTGGATGCTCAACCAACTGAGCCACCCAGGTACCCCATATATACATGCATACATATGTACATACATACATACATATATATATAAAGGCACAAGAGCTCAAGCCCAGGGAAGCAATTCTACTCTTTCTCATTGATAAGGAGAATATTTCAAAGTTAATATGACAGGTCCTCTGATTTTGTCACTACTGCCATACTGTATTTAGCATGTGGTAATAAAACTGCAGTGTTGCTCATGTCCTTGTCAGGAGACTAGATGAGATCCTTTTCTCTCAAGCTGGGCTACATTTGCTGATAGGATACTTTCTGGTTTCTACAGCAAAAATTTTACCTTTATGTTCACAAACAGGTCAACAGGCAAATAGGTCAAGGTTACTCTGTTTCTATTAATTACTAATTTACCTGGTCTGTTGTAGAATTTTTTTTTTTTGTCAAGAGATGCATTTTGATTGGATCTATGCCTAATTAACTTAACAAATTAAGAGTCTATCGACAAAGATTATGCATCAATTAACATCAATCCTAAAGTAACTGTTTTCTCATTTCAGAACACATCATTTTTTATAGAAGAACATTTTGTAAAGGTAAATCTAACAAATGTATACAAATGAGAAACATCAGTAGTTGCAATTTTTAGTGAAGCAACCTGCAATTTCAATTTATTTATTCAAAAATTGAAGACCTTTA